GGGGGGGTTCAGTCACAGGAAGAGGAGGCTGAGGGGAGACCTCCTGGCCCTCTGCAACTCCCTGCCAGGAGGGTGCAGAGAGGGGGGATGAGTCTCTGAAGCCAAGGAGCCAGCGCCAGGCCCCGAGGGAATGGCCTCAAGCTGCCCAGGGCAGGGTCAGGCTGGCTCTGAGGAAGGATTTCTGTGCAGAAGGGGCTGTTGGGCGTTGGAATGGGCTGCCCAGGGCAGGGGGGAGTCCCCGGGATCCCTGGAGGGGTTGAAGAGTCGGGCTGAGCCAGCGCTGAGGGATCTGGGGGAGCTGGGAACAGTCAGGGGGAGGTTCATGGTTGGACTGGAGGAGCTTCAAGGGCTTTTCCAGCAGAGGTGATTCTGTACTAGGTGTTCAGCCAGCTGGGGTACACCTAAAACTCCATAGGTGGTTGTCCGTCAGTCTGGGCAGTACTGGCAAGTCGCAGGCACAGTCAGCACTCGGGTTGTTTGCCAGCTGACATTTCCAGGGCCTGGGCTGGTCCCAGGGCAGTCTCTGCCCTGCAGCTCACACCCAGACCCCTTCCTTTCCTCCTGTGAAAGGCTGCTGTGCAAGGCCAGGCTTCCTCCGGAGGAACTCCTGCAACCGGGTGTGACGCAGTGGGTGACAGCACTGCTCCTCTCCCCACGCAGCTCCATACCCGCGGGTTCCGCAGGGGTGATGGCATCCAGAGGTCGGGAATGTCACCTCGGGGACAGAACAAAGAGCTCTTCAAAACTAAAGGGATGCTGATGAGCTGGATTCTGCCCAGCAGAGGCACTGTCATGCAGCCACAAAACCAAGCTTTCAACCTAATTCATTTGTTTTACAATGATCTAAGCTGGGTACACAATCACCTGCTCCTCACTTGCACTAATCTTTTCATTAACTCTTAATGAGGGCCTGGAGCTATTTAGATGGTGTAGATAGCACCGAATTCAAATAATCCACTTCAAATTAGTGGAAATTCAGAATTAATTAAAACTGTGCAAAGCAAGAAAATCCACCTCAGTCACGTGGGCCCAGTGTAAATCAGTAGCTGATTTTATACAGTTAGTTCAGAGCCTCTTAGATCTTCAGAACCCTCAGGGGGAGAACACCCCTAAGGAAAGTGGTGCCTGGGCCTAACTGCAGGGGTGCAAGTGGGTTGGAAAACTCCAGCCTGGCTCAGCCACATGCAGCTAAAAGGCTCCACCACCAAAAAGAGCTGAGAATTTCCTTTAACGACTTGCAAAAGATGCAAAATGTGAATCAGACACATGCTTAAAATCCACATGGTGTCTCAAAAAGCATCTTTTAGCCTTGGGGAAGGAACCTGGAGGGATATGGAGCAGGCAGGACTGTTCTGAAATACAACAGGTACACACTTAGCCAGGATCCTCACCACTAGGCACAACACAGCAGTTACAAAACCCATACCAGATAGGTTTGGCAGTCTTCATTTATTCAGCTTAAACCAAAATTATTTTCTTTAAAAAATAATCAATAAATAAAACAGACATCACCAAGGAAACACTATATTGAGTGGAGTACTATCAGGAACATTAAATAGAACCCCCACCACAGCTTAAAGTAGCTCTCCACACCACAATGAAAGAACATTTTATGAGGCCTAAACTGTTCACAAACAAGACTGGCTGTTCTGTACAAACCTTCATGTATTTATAATGCCCTATTCACAGACGGAGGCTTTGTCACCCTTCACACAAAACACTACTGTTGAAACCAGGGCTTTGTACACGATTTGCTTGCCATCACTGGCAAAAGTGCTAAAAATTATTTAGCAAGAGGGATGCGCCGAAGCAGCCGCAATCCCTGGGAATGGGGGATTTCTCTGCTGGTTTGCTACGCCATAACCAGCAAAACCACAGCCTACATGGCCCTCGGGAATTCACACACAGCACGTTCCTGCTGATCCCAAATCCCATTCTCACCCCCCTGCTCAGGACAGGGTCTATTCTCTGTCAAACATTCCAGTTCCCCAGTTACCTTCACCCTGTCACAAACCATAGGGTTATTTTTTTTTTCTTTTTGTCAGAAAAGAAGTAATTATCCTGAAAACAAAGTTATCAGCTAAAGTGCAGGACCCCTGCAGTGAGAGCTACCCATCCATTATTAGCCTTGGAACATCAGCTTTAGCACAGCCGTAAGGATTCTCCCCTACCCACACAAACAGTAACAAATTCCGTTTTGGAAAATAGTGCTTATAAAACTTGAGGTGCACTGACATCAGTGAACTTTCATGGAAAGAGCAGAACAAAT